TGCAAGCTGTCGTGTATTCACAGTATGTATTCCGCTTCATAGCATATCATTATTATGTCACATGACAAACTAGAGTTTAACGAAAAATAAACGCCAGTTTGCATCACTGGCTTATTGAAGGGAGTGATAGTAGAAATGTAAAAATGAAATGAAATGAATGGAGTTTTACGTCCTACTTTTCTGCACCATGTGGGCTAATGAAGACGGGCAACGCCTTGCAGGGTGCAATGAGGGAAATTTTGCCAGGACAGCGGCATTAGCCTGTTGTTTTTCGATTTCCAACTGTCGTTGGATCTTTAACGTGCACAGTCTGTAGCACACAGGGCCTCGGTTTATTGTCCCATCCGAACGACTAGACGCTTTTTCCATGTCAGCCCCTCGTACAGTAGAAATGCAAATACATGTAATTTTAAATTGTATCTATGTTAATTACCTATACCATTACAGTTGAAATATTGAAGGAATGCAATTTTTTTTATATTGTAAATTAAATTACTTGAAAATGTATATTAAACCAAACCAGGATTTTGTTAAAAGCAAAAACCTGCAATAAAAGTCATATCTATTGACATCAAAAGGGTGTACAAGTTGTTATGCAAATGCTAAAGGCTAACAATGTCAAAGTTATCAGTATGAAGAAAATTGACGACTTTAAACAAGGCTACTGCAGTTTCAAAATGAACAATGAAACATTATGTCATAAAAATACGGTTTCAATGGGCCCTCTTTAAAGGAGCATTGCTTGCGATCATTAAAATATTTTTTTTGGTCCTGTGCGTTAAGGTTAACCAAGTAAATATTAAAACAACTATACAGAAAGCTAAAATTGAGCTTTATCAGCTGGTCTAGTAAATATTAAGACAATTATGCAGATAGCTAAAATTGAGCTTTATCAGCTGGTCTAGTAAATATTAAGAGAATATTGAGCTTTGTCAGTTGGTATGGTAAATATTAAGACAACCATACAGATAGCTAAAATTGAGCTCTATCAGCTGGTCTAGTAAATATTAAGACAATTATGCAGATAGCTAAAATTGAGCTTTATCAGCTGGTCTAGTAAACATTAAGATAACTATATAGAAAGCTAAAATTGAGCTCTATCAGCTGGTCTAGTAAATATTAAGACAACTATGCACATAGCTAAAATTGAGTTCTATCAGCTAGTAAAGTAAATATCAAGACAACTATACATATAGCTGTTATTGAGCTCTATCAGCTGGTATAGTAAATATTAAGACAACTATGCAGATAGCTAANATTGAGCTCTATGAGCTAGTAAAGTAAAT